ATCGAGCCTTTTCGGAACCGTGTAGACTGTATTTAAGCCTATATTGCTGAGTGTGGAGCGCATATCTTCACTCAAACCTCTAACATATGGTAGTACGACGCATTTCCGTGGATCGAATAGATTTCCAGTCGTGCTGCTTGTATCTCGTTTGTGACTAAGTTGTTTTAGTCTAATCTTGATGTGTTTATTAATCAACTCGATTGGAAATGAGTTGTTCAATAATATATCTTTCACTATGTTGATATTCGATTCACGGAAACGATCGTTTGACAGTAAAATGGCACGGTCAAGAAGGCCAGTGATGCAGTTGACCTTATATTTTAGCGGGTGACTCGAGAAGTAATTTATATAACGGCCAGAGAACGTGGGTTTTCTAAACCAATTAGTGATCAATCTATTACCATCTCTGATTACAATCGTATCGAGAAACGGAAGTGAATTGTTGCTCTCCAACTCAAACGTGAAATTTAATCGTGGGTGATAGCTGTTAAACGCGTTGAGTACGTCATTGAGTTTTGACCGTGGTATTATGGTAAAGATGTCATCCACGTATCTATAGAAAATTTTTATCTCAAAGTCAAGTGCCCCAAGGCAGTGCATCTCTAAATCTTCCATAACAATGTCAGAGGTTTTAGGGGAAAGCGGCGAACCCATGGGGCTGCCAAAGATTTGTTCATAAAACTGCGCATTAAAACAAAAGCTTGTAGAGCTTAATATCAAATCAACCGCGTGTAAAAATTGAGGTAACGAGAATTTTGTATGTACAGAAATAAAATGCCAGCGTTTTTCAATACCCTTTAAGACAAGTTCTTTGGGAATGTTGGTAAAAAGGGAGGTGACATCCAGGGAAACGAGAACCTGGTCTGTATTGATCGTTTCATTATTAATAATTTCTGTAAAGGACCAGCTGTCTTTGATATGCGACTTAGGTTTAGGTAAATACTCATCCAAAATCGCGTGTAGGTAACAAGCTATGTTATACACGGGGCTCCCGACTGCCGAGACAATAATACGTAACGGGAAGCCAGCCTTATGAACCTTTGGCAGTCCATAACACCGTGGAAGATTGCCATTCGTGCACTTTAACCTATAGTACGTGGGATCGTCTATAATATCGCTGTCATACCATGATTTAACAAGTTTGTTAAGTTTGGTGGTTAATTGACTTATCGGATCTTTCTTTAATTTTCTATAGGTGGATTCGTCATTTAAAAGGTCAGTCATACGGTTGTTATAATCGGTCTTCTCCATAACGACAGTAATCTGGCCCTTATCCGCTTTTGTAACAAAAATGTCTTGTTTATCGCGTAGGAATTTTTTACAGTTATTAAACTCCTTAAGAATGTAGCTGTCTATGTATTTCATATGGAGATTTTTGTTAAGAAAAAGTTGTACGGAATTGGCTACCGAGCTTCGTATCGCGTTGGTCACACCTGGAGGGATTTTATAACTGATAGATTCAAAATTTTTTATCGTGTCCAACGCGGTACAAAGACGATCTTTTTTATCACCGTTGGTGACAGGAACACCGAATCTGTCACCTAAGCTCAAAATGTGTGCAATGTTCGCAGGAATATTGCAATTGGTAGTGTTAATAAGCCATTTGGTTCTGTCGTTATCAAAAAAAGCCCGATATACATTTTGTTTCGACAAAGTTCTGTTAAATTTATTGGTTGCGCTGCGCCTCTGTTGACTATTATGTTTTTCAATTTTTCGATTATTGCTCTCAAAAAACTCAATCAATTTATGTTCTGGTAAACGAGAGAAAAGATCGCCCTGGATAAAATTGATTTCGGACCTAAGGAAACGCAAGTGATGGTTTACATCTTTGATTTCTAAATTAAGGATGGCCCTTTGGTGGCGCCCCTTATAACGATGGAACCTGTGCTTTACGCTGAGACTTCTATGCAATATAGGCTTAAATACAGTCTACACGGTTCCGAAAAGGCTCGAT